ATTCCATCCCTTCAAAATCCAGGAGTGGAAACAGGTGGGATGGAAAGAAGAAAGGGCACTGGGAGGAGGGAGGCTCTCTTCTGAACACCGCTCTCTCCCCCTCCAGGCCCCCACTTACCATGTAGCCCTTTGGAATTAGGCTTGCTAAACCATTAGGCGCCATCCAGACTGCCTCTCCCCAGGGCATTGCCCAGGCCCTGGGGCAGAAGAGTGCAGCCGTGACCTGACCCTTGTCTTGCCCAGCCTGGGGCCCCTGACCTCCCCTGACTCAACGTCTTCACCCCCAGCCCCCTGCCAGCTCCTAGCCCACCCTGTCTTCTCTCTCAGGCTCCCCAGATATACACTCCATGGCTCCCCTCATCCGCTCCATCCTCCTGGTGGGCCCCTCCGGTATGGGCAAGAAGATGCTGGTGAAAGCCGTGTGCACGGAGACCGGTGCCAACCTCTTCGACCTGTCACCGGAGAACCTGCAGGGCAAATACCCCGGCAAGACTGGGGTGCAGATGCTGGTGCACGTTGTCTTTAAGGTCTGGGAGTCTCCTGGCGGCATCTCGAGTTATCAGACTGTGACAGCAGAGCTGGGTGGGCTTGGCGGGGGGGTGCGGGGTCACGCAGCTGCCCAGCTGGTGTCGTTTCAGGAGCTGCTGAGGTCTCCCCACCAGTCAGTCCCTGCTCGGAGCGTGTAGATTCCCCAAGCCCCAGTGATGGGGGAGGTGGGAAGGAAGTGGGAGGCAGGGGAGTTTCTTCTCTTGGCAGAGATGAAGCTGAACACATAGCCCCCCGTACCGCCACCGCCCCCTAGGGAGGGCAGGGACTCTGGTGTGATGGGTGTTGGAAGGGCGCAGAGGTGGGGCTGGCAGGATGTGGGAACGGAGCCGGCCACTGACCGAGGACGGCCCTGACCCTGGGTTTGACCAGATGGGGAGGGGACCCTTCCCCCAAGGATGTCTGACCTCGGACTTCTGTTCTCTGATGCATCCAGGTGGCTCGGTACCTACAGCCCTCTGTGATCTGGATTGGGAATGCGGAGAAGACTTTCTATAAGCGGGTCCCCAAAGACGAGGAGGAGGTGGGCAGAGCCCGTGGGCAGGGCTGGCAGGCGTGGGCGTGTTCACGTCACTCCAGACCTCACCCGCCACGTGGCGTCGGACGAGTCCTCCTGCCTTACTTCCCTATCCTTAAAGCGGGACCAACAGCCCCTCCCGTCTGCCCGCCCCCCTCCTCCCCACCGCGGTCCTTGTGAGGATGAGCTCTGTGAATTAGAAGCCAGTATGATGTCCCTGGTCCCCACCCCTCCTCTCCCTCCCCACCTTTCCCGGAACAGATGGACCCGAAGCGAATAAAGAAGGACCTCACCAAGGCCCTGCGGCTGCTGAGTCCTGGGGACCGCGTGATGCTGATCGGGACCACCGACCGGCCGCAGGTGGCTGAGATGAAGGGCCTTTGCCACACCTACGAGCGCATCCTCCTCCTGCTTCGGCCCGATTACGCCTCTCGCTATGGTAAGGCCCCTTGCGACTGCGTGGGCTGCAGCCCGCCAGGCTCCTCCATCCGTGGGCTTCTCCAGGCCAGGATGTTGGAGTGGGTAGCCCTGCCCTCCTCCAGGGGATCTTCCCGACCCAGGACTTCCCTGGTATCTCAGACGGTAAAAGAATCTGCCTGCAATGCAGGAGGTGCAGGTTCGATCCCTGGGTTGGGAAGATTCCCCTGGAGAAGGAAATGGCAGCCCACTCCAGTATTCTTGCCTGGAGAATCCCACGGACAGAGGAGCCTGGCAGGCTACAGTCTCCATGGGGTCGCACAGAGTCGGATACGACGGAGCGACTAACACTTTTTCACTTTTTTCACAGTGAGGCTGGGGAATGTGGGGTCAGATCAGAGAAGGGGTCGAGGGACTGCCCTTGCCAAAGCTCCCCGCTTCCCCCATCGGCCCCTGCTCTGAGTCCTGACCTCCACTCCAGGTGCTCTGGAGGGATGGCTAGACAAGCCGCCCTGGGACCTGGAGCCTGGTGTGCCTGTGCAGACACGGGCGGGCCGCTCAAGTCCTCGGAGTCTCACTTGCCGTGTTAAGTGGGGAGGAAGATCCTTACCTCCCTGGGAGGAGGGGCGCTGCTGGATGCCGGGCGGCCCTCCAGAAGCACAGAGCTCCTCTGTAGACACGGAGGTGCCCACTGCTCTCTCTGCCCCGTGTGCCCCCCCACCCCACCGCACGCAGTGCTCTGGAAGCATATGATTGAGGCCCAGGGAGCCAAGGGGACCCAGCACCTGGACATCAGCGCCCTGGCCAAGGTGTCCGACGGCTACACGGCTGGCTGCATCCTCCAAGCCATCCAGGCGGTGCTGACCGAGCGGCGGCTCCTGCAGTTGTCCAGGCGGCCGCTCCTGACCTCAGAGTTCCTGGGGCCCCTGGCGAAGCTGGACCCGGTGTACCGGGAGGAGGAGGAGTCCCTGAAGGCGAGGCTTGTAGAGGGGGCAGGGCCAACAGCAGTGGGGGAGTCAGCCCTCTGAAGCCCACCCCCCAGGCCCATAGTGCACTTTGGACCCCTTCGTCTGCTCCCCAGGGAGCTCAGAAGGGAAGGACTCGTGGGCAGGGACAGCTGGGCACCCGCAGCCACTGACCCCTGGGGGAGCACCAGGGGCTGCAGGGCAGGGGAGGAGGCCTCTCGCCCCTGACCGTGGCCCAGAGTATCTGGTGATGAGTGAGGGAAACCAGGGCTCTGGCAGGAACCCTAGGACCCCAGAGGAGAGCAGAGGACCTAGGTCAGCCAGCAGAGCCGAGGGTCCCACCCATCGCCTTCACCCTTCCTGCAACCCAGGACTGGTACTTCAAGACCCCGCTGGGCAAGAAGATGAAACTTCTCAAGGACCAGGACGCTGCTGAGGAAGCCAAGGCAAAGGAGAAGAAGAGGAAGTGAAGCTGAGGCTGGGGTGCCTGAGATTAGGAGCAGGATGGGTGGGGTCCCACGGGCCAGGAGGGGACTGGGGCGGGGCAGAGGTATAAACGGCCAGACGGCTCGGGGACCTGCTCTCTTTGTCCATTTCCATGCTTCCTGCCCCTTGTTCTGTGCCCCTGCCCGGCTCAGCCTTGCTCCACTTCGTACCCACCCTCTCCCCACCCCCGGCCCGGCCGCTCACAAGCCGGCTCCGCTCTGCTTCCCAGACCCCTCTGACCGGCACCTGGTGTCTCCACCCGCTGTCATTCACCACCCACCACCTGGCTCCCCAGCTCTCTCCCTCCCCGAGGTGTTTCTGTGCGTGCCCAGTCGCTTCGGTTGTGTCTGACCCTCTGCGACCCCGTGGAATGGAGCCCACGAGGCTCCTCTGTCCTTGGGATTCTCCAGGCAAGAATATACAGGAGTGGGTTGCCATTCCCTGCTCCGGGGGAATCTTCCCGACCCAAGGATTGAACCTATGTCTCTGATGTCTCCCGCGTTGTCAGGCGAGCTCTTTAGTACTAGTGCCATCTGCAAAGCCAGAGGTGTTTAAGGGAGAAAAATAGGAAAAGGAGAAAAAGGTCTAGAGTAAGTATACGAAAAAAAAAGCCGGAGCGTGGGGCCAGCGGACCCCGGCTGTAACCTGAGAGGTCTTGCATGCTCCTTCCCTGTCTGTGGGCCTCAGTTTCCTTCTTCAGTGAAGTGAGGAGTGGTTGGATCTCCAAGGTCCCTTCTATTCTAGGGTTTATTTTTGCAAGAGCGCCTCTGGCAGTGGATCGGAGTAGGGGCGAGGGGAGAAGGTTCTAGGGGAAAAGGCGGTAGGGAAAGGCAGGCACCTGTGGGCTGGGCGAGGGCTGTGGGCAGACCCAGCATCTTCGCTGAGGGGTTTCCACCTGTCTTCTGTACACCACCCCTCCCATTCCCCACCTGCCGGAGCTCTGCACTCCTTCCTATGACCCTCGGTGGGGGGGTGGGGGATGAAAGGGACGCAGCCTCCTGCCCCTGGCAGATGGCCACCCGTGGGCTTCAAGGGGGACCCTAGGGAGCTGGGGATGACCATGCCACTGAGCGCTGGGAGCCCCAGGGTGATCGCCGAAAATGCCGTGTAAGGATCGTGTGAATAAAGGTCAAAGCGTGTGGCCCGTGTCGTGAGAGCCAATGGAGGGGAGACAGCTGGACCGGCCCGAGAGGGTCCTGTGCTGGGCAGGGGGCCCCCTGGGGGCTGATTTCGGGTTTACTTTCTCCCTTCTCCCCTTTTCATCTCCCCCAGGGGAAGTGGTCTCTTTATCCTAAGGTACCCCCAATGGATAGAGGACTTCCTCCTTGATTTCCAGCTAGCAATGGCATGGGAGACCCCCAGGGTCACCCAGGGAGATGCGGGTCAGTGCCAAGCTGGGCTGCCCGTGGACTGAATCCTCTGCCCCAGCGCAGAGCACCCATGGTGGGGACTCCTCACAGAAGGGGAGGTGTTCTCTGCCATTTGCTGGAGACCCCTAGCTTGCGTTTGAGAGTGGGAAGTTACAGCGGTAGTTGGTGACATTCAGAAGGCAGGGACCCCTCTCGCCCTACCTCTGGGGTCAGAGCCTGGGCTGCTGGAGGCCGGCGCTGTGAAGCACAGGACAGATGAGGAAGGCTGAGAGACGGCAGCTTGGGATCAACCCCCACCCCACCCCTGCAACACAGAGTCACACCTTGGCCACAGCATCCCCCCACGCCCACCCTGGGGCTCCATTTCCCTTCACCCAGGAAACTGCAGGTTGGACTCCACGTCTGGGTGGTCCCTTCAGCCCTGCTGCCCCCCTCTGCAGGGGAAGCTCTGAGCTCCGCCCTGACCCCCTCCTCCAGGCTCCTCCCTAATTCCCCAGCCTGAGGCCTCCTTCCTTGGCAAAGCTGGGATATCCAGGCTATTTATGGCCTATGGATGGGCTATTTATGGCATGGCCTCTGTGTGCTCCCTGCCCCTCCCCCCCCATTCCCCCAAGGCCGAGCCTGGCTTCAGCCCAGCACCCACCCGCCCTGATCACCAGCAGCATCGCCCAGGGGCCTGCTCTCGCCCTGAAAGTGGCCATGCCCAGGAACAGGAGCTCGCCTTCCCAGCGGGGACACCGACTGGGGTGCCTCCCCTCGGCCCCGGCTGGCCGGGTCTGGGGGGCCCGGTCCCACGCGGCCCAGGAGCGCCCTGGGCCCCGGCCGCTGCTGTGCCCGGACATGGCACTACAGAACGCCCTGTACACGGGCGACCTGGCGCGGCTGCAGGAGCTGTTTCCCCCGCACAGCACGGCCGACCTGCTGCTGGAGAGCCGAGCGGCGGAGCCTCGCTGGAGCAGCCACCAGAGGGGTGAGGGGCGGCCGGCGGGGGCTGAGGGCAGGGGTTCCGGGCACGGTGGCACCCAGCACTTGAGGACAAGGAGCGGGCCGCGGCGCTGTTTCCCTCCCAGCCTGAGGCTTGCCTAAACCTTGGCCCAGGAGACAAGTCATGCGGAGCCCAGAATAGCTCCTGCTGAAGCCCAGTGAGTGGCCAGCTCAGGCTCAGAGACGCCGAGGACCCAGAGACGCTGGCCCGTCCCCCTCCTCCTTCTCTTGGGCCCCCGCTTCCCCTTCCTCGAACCCCCCCCCGCCCCCCCCACACCCTGCCCTCATGAGCTGGTCTCCAGATGAGTGCAGGGGGCAGGGTGAGCCCCCTGGTGACAGACACGCCCTCTGTGCCAGGCTGGTGGAGAAGCCCCGCGGAGGGTCCCCGGAGTCTGGCCCGGGACCCATCGTCACCCGCACGGCCTCGGGACCTGCCCTGGCCTTCTGGCGGGCGGTGCTGGCTGGGGACGTGGGCTCTGTCTCCCGCATCCTGGCCGACTCCAGCAATGGCCTGGCTCCGGATTCCATCTTTGATACCAGCGACCCAGAGCGATGGAGAGATTTCCGCTTCAACATCCGCGCTCTGAGTATGGGCCAGGGTCATGGGGCGGGGGAGTCGGGGCTCCGAGCAGGGGGTGGGAGGGAAGCCTGGGAAGGAGCCCTGGGCTCCGGCTTCCCGGCATCTGCCCACCTCCACCCACCCTATTGCCTGGCAGCTCTTTGCCTCCGCCCAGGCTCTGAGACCCTGTGTCCCCGTCTCTCCCTAGGACTCTGGTCGCTGACCTACGAAGAGGAGCTGACCACCCCTCTGCACGTGGCGGCCAGTCGGGGCCATGTGGAAGTCCTGCGGCTGCTGCTGAGGCGGCGGGCGAGGCCCGACGGTGCCCCCGGGGGCCGGACCGCCCTGCATGAGGCCTGTGCCGCGGGCCACGCCGCCTGCGTCCACGTGCTCCTGGTGGCGGGAGCCGACCCCAACATCCCTGACCAGGACGGGAGGCGCCCCTTGCACCTCTGCGGGGGCGCTGGCAGCCTCGAGTGAGTGACCCCTCACCCCGGCCACCCCGGAGAGGCAGAGACACCCGCAGGGAGGGTGAGGGGGCCTGCCTGGGCCTGGCAGGTCCGGTGAGCTGGTCGGAGTGGACTTCAGGATGGCTTGTGCTTGGAACGGTTTCTGCTTTCCCAGTGTGGGAGGAGGGCTGTGGCAGGGCCTGGCTGCACGGCTGGCATTGAGGAAGCTGTGGATCCATTATGGGGAGGTAGTTACGGTTTTCATTTTTCTGAGCTTTTCCTATGTCCCAGGCACTGTGCTAGTAAGTGCAATACATGGCCCTGTAACTGAGGCCCGATCCTGCCCTCAGGGAACTGACTGGCCAGTCATCCAGACAGGCTATGGAGGACAGAAGACCCCCAGCTGGAGCCTCTAGTTGTCCTCAAGGGCAGGGTCTGGTTCGCAACTTGGCAGGTCCGGCGTTTCCGGGTCGGCAGGCACCCTCAGATCAGTGGGCTCAGGGGCTGAACCCCACTGACCAAACTCACAAGGAACGGATGGCTATACCCAAATGTGACCCTCTATTATTCACCTTAGAGGGTATTCATTTACAGTGACCCAAATAATTATGCCCTATGTGTCGGGGGCCTTGGAGAGTAAGTTCTCATAATTTTTTGATGAGTCTGGAATCCCAGCAAAGGAAAACTAGGCAAATCTGTGTACTAACTGTACATACAACAGAGGTCTTCTCTCTACTGACTAAACACCTGCCAATTTTCACATCTTCTCCCTGAATGGCACCAAATTTTTGATCTTGGGCTCCACTTTTCGGGCCTTCTCCCTCCTGTTAACCTCATCGGCCTTCAGAGGATTCTACTGAGTCACTTATATTATGTTTGAAGATGTATCTACAACAGCATGGTCCAGTAGAAACATACCATGGTTCACATATGTAATTTAAAATTTTCTGTTGTTGTTGTTGTTGTTCAGTTGCTAACTGGTGTCTGACTCTTTGCGACCCCATGGACTGCAGCAGGCCAGGCTTCGCTGTCTTTCATTATCTCCCAGAGCTTGCTTAGACTCATGTCCATTGAGTCGGTGATGCCATCCAACCATCTCATCCTCTATCGTCCCCTTCTCCTCCTGCTTTCAATCTTTCCCAGCATCAGGGTCTTTTCCAATGAGTAGGCTCTTCACATCAGGTGACCAAGGGATTGGAGCTTCAGCTTCAGCATCTGTCCTTCCAGTAAATATTCAGGGTTTATTTCCTTTAGAGTTGACTGGTTTGATCTCCTTGGAGTCCAAGGGACTCTCAACAGCACCACAGTTCGAAAGTATCAATTCTTTGGAGTTCAGCCTTCTTTATGGTCCAACTCTCACATCCATACATGACTACCGGAAAAACCATAGCTCTGACTATATGTGGACCTTTGTCGGCAAAGTGATGTCTCTGCTTTGTAATACACTGTCTAGGTTTATCATAGTTTTGCTTTCAAGGAGCAAGTGTCTTTTAATTGATATGAAAAAGAAACAGGTGAAATTCATTTTTAAATTACATGTAACATAAAATTTACCATCTTAACTGTTACTCAGTGTCCAGTTCAGTAGCACTAAGTACATTCACACAGTGGTGCAACCAGCAGGACCATCTAACCCCTGAACTTTTAAAATCTTACAAAACTGAAATTCTGTATGTATCCTTTGGAAAATAACTCCCCACCCCTCCCCTGAGCCCCTGGCAACTACCCTCTACTTTTGGACTCTATGAATTGAAATGGTCTCCATACCTCTAATGAGTGGAATAATACAGTATCTGTCCTGTTGTGACTGGCTTATTTCATTTAGCATAATGTCCTCAGATTCATCCAGGTTGTAGCAGGTAACAGAATGTCCTCGTCTTTTAAAGGCTTGAATAATATTCCATGGAATGTGTCATATTTTATTTATCCAGTCATCTATTGATGACTGCTTGTAGTCATGTAGGTTGCATGATATAGGAAGGTTGCCTCATGTAGGAAGCAACATGTAGGTTGCTTCCATGTTCTGGCTATTGTGAATAATGCTGCCATGAACATGAGCATATAAATATCTGTGAATCAAATGAAATAAAATTAGTAATATATTTTAATTAACACAATATACCACAATGTTATCATTTCAACATGGAACCAATATAAAAGGAACATATGAGATATTTTACATTCTTTTTTTGTACCAAGTCTTCAAAATTGGTATGTACTTTGCACTTACAGCACATCTCAGTCAGGACTAGCCATTCAGTAAGTGCTTGGTGGCCACATGTGGCTGGTGGCCACAGAATCGGACGATGCCATTCTGTGAAGTCCCACATTTTTAGTGAAGTCTCTGTGTTCCATCCCAGGCTCCCTGAGATCACACTTGGTGATAATCATTCCTTTTTTTAAAAAAAAGCAAAGTGAAAGTGTTACTTGCTCAGTCGTGTCCGACTCTTTGTGACCCCATGGACTGTAGCCCGCCAGGCTCCTCTGTCCATGGGATTCTCCAGGCAAGAATACTGGAGTGGGTAGCCATTCCCTTCTCCAACAGATCTTCCTGACCCATGGATTGAACCCTGGTCCCCTACACTGCAGGGAGATTCTTTACCATCTGAACCACCAGGGAAGCCCCTTGATTAAGTACACATACTTTTAAAATTATTATGGAGGGACTTCCCTGGTGATCCGTTGGCTAAGACTCTGTGCTCCCAATGCAGAGGGCCCGGGTTTGATCCCTGGTCAGGGAATCCCACGTGCCGTAACTAAGAGTTTGCATAGCGCAACTTAAAGATCCTGCATGTCGCTACTAAGATCCAGCTCAGCCAATAAATAAATCAATAACTAAATATTTTTTAATCATTCTGGAGAATTTCAAACCCGTAGAAAGGTAGACAGGATAATATAATAAGCCCCATGATCCATCACCATCTATACCGCCCACTTCCACTGCCCATTGCTGTTTTGAACTCTTAGCTGATAGTTTTTCAGGCATTGTCTCATACGCCACTCTCAACAACCTCTTGGGTCTAGGTATTAGCAATTATCCCCTTTCTACAGCTCTGCTAGAGCTCAAAGAGACTGAGTTCCCTTAGCCCTGAATTTCGTGTCACAGGTCCTTGCAGTAATAGTAATACACAATCTTCTGAGAGGACCGTCTTGCAGCAAATCTGGCTGGCTAATTTTGGTTTTGTTGTCTTTCTCCCACCACTTTCCATGTGTGCCCACTTCCAGGCCCCTCCCCATTCCAGTCCCAGCATGCAGAGCCCTCCAACCATGCTGCTGCCCCTGGACCTGAAGGCCAGCTCTTCCCTCACTGGCTATGTGAACCCGCCAAGACCCTCTACCCTCAGGGCCTCAGTTTCCTCATCTGAACCTGTCCTGGGGATGAACAAAGTCAGGGCACGTGGTGCCCACAGAAGGCACCTGTTCTAACTGAGCAAGGGCTGCTGGTGCCTTGGCTCCCATCCAGGGTTTAGGGCACTTCTCTGGCTGAGAGCATGGGGCTTGAGAGAGGGCACTAGAGATGCTGCAGAATGTTGCCAGGATCTTAGTGCCAGGCAGGCCGGAAATGGACGGGCAGACAGCACCAGGGCCACCCAAGGGTGCCCCCCAGGTTTGCTTTGCTCACACCAGCAATCATGCAGGGGTGAAGGTCTGCACCACCGTCTTCCTCCCCCACGGCTGTCTTGCCCTTACTAGGTGTGCGGAGCTGCTCCTGAGGTTTGGGGCGAAAGTGGATGGTCGGTCAGAGGAGGAGGAGGAGACCCCTCTGCATGTGGCCGCCCGGCTGGGCCACGTGGAGCTGGCGGACCTCCTCCTGAGACGCGGGGCCTGCCCCGATGCCCGAGATGCCGAAGGCTGGACCCCGCTGCTGGCCGCCTGTGACGCCCGCTGCACGTCCCCCGCCGACGCCGAGGCCACCACAGCCCGCTGCCTCCAGCTGTGCAGCCTGCTGCTCTCTGCTGGGGCCGACGCCGACGCCGCCGACCAGGACAGGCAGCGGCCCCTGCATTTGGCCTGTCGCCGCGGCCATGCGGACGTCGTGGAGCTACTCCTGTCCCATGGCGTCGGCGCCAACGCCATGGACTACGGGGGACACACGGCCCTGCACTGCGCGCTGCAGGGCCCCGCTGCAGCCCTGGCCCAGAGCCCGGAGCGCACCGTGCGCGCGCTGCTCAACCACGGTGCAGTCCGCGTGTGGCCCGGGGCTCTCCCCAAGGTACCGGCTGGGGCCGGAAGGAGGGCCCCGAGAGCGGGGTGGGGGTGTGGGGAGACCCGGCCGGTGTGCCAGCTTGCTGTGGACGCAGGTAGCTCCGGACGGGGGTCAGTACTTTGTCTTTCTTTCGTCGAGAAAGCCCAGCCCAGCAGGGAGCAAACCGCACACCGCCAGCAGGAGGTGGGGAATGATGCTTGTGCGCCTGCGCACATGTATATCCACTGCGTGCTGTGCATATACACGTGCTTGCATGTGCGTGAGTGTATACGTGCGTGGGTGATGAATGTGAACCGAGGGCGGAGGGGCCGGACTCTAAAGGATCTGAAAAGACAGGAGGAGTCAGGTCGAATGTGGGCCAAAAGGGCTTGTTTCTTTCTCACGGGAGAAAGCGGATGAATGAAACGTTAGGAAGCTCCCTCTGGCAGTGGGACCCGTTCAGAGAGAAACTCCAGTCACAGGAAATATTGGCCGGGGGCAGAGTGATAAGCCTGGTCTTGAGCTTCAAGGCCTCCTGACCATCTGCAGATGGACGTGAGAGCTTAGCAGAACGTGCACCAGGGACACCAGCCGCTGTTATGCTGGCACCAAAGAAAACACACTCACTGTCCATTTCCAATCTCTGCCTTATATTTAACATTAATATCCCCGAGGCGGTGTCAGGCTGTGCTACCGATGCCTTGGCAGGGGACCCTGTCCACGCTGTACTGTGTCTGGAGAGGGCTATATAATATTGCGGAGGATGCTGGGCCCGGGGGTGGAGACCCTGGTTTTCCGAGGGGCTGGGTCAGGATGGGTGTAGGGCAGTACGCTGCCTGCAGGTCCCTCGCCCTGCCTCTGGTCTTGAACCATCCAGCCCCACCCAGTCCTGGACACTCCCCTGCTATCCCCACCTCTCCCCTTCACTCATAAACCTAGAAGCATCTGTGTAGATTCCTAAGCAAGGCCAAATAATTAAACAGCCCGAGAGTTCGGCAGATTGGTCTCCCCTTTGGGAAAATACAAGAAAATCAACAATTAACACTAATTAATCTCCTATTAACACCAGATAATTAGGAGAGGAGCAATTCCCGGTAATCTGACAGTGGCTCTGACAGCTAATGATTCCCCTTTGGGGAGGGGGTGGGAAGAGAAGGCAGAGCAGCAAACGGATATTCTGGGACGCCACTGCCCACCCCTGCAACCCTGTTCTGTTCTTATTGCCCTGGGGACAGGCCAGCACAGCAAAGTGCCCCCTGCGCCCCTTCTTCTGGGCTCCACAGCACCCCAGGTGATCAAACAGTTGGTATTCGTCTCCCACAACATGCAGCTGCTCCGGGGTTGACTGGGGTGCCTGTCCTCCAGTGCAGAGCTTCTCCCTGGCCCACTGGTGACCACTGTCAGCCCCCAGCCAGTCCTGCAGGAGCCACCATACTGGTCTGGGTGCTCAGACTGGAAGCAGGGTCTGGCTGCGATGCTTGTTCATGTGACTCTAGGCAAGTCCTGGGATTCTTTGAACCCATGTTCCCTGTGTGTGATACAGTCTTGACCTAAACTTAGTGGGAACAGTAGAAACAAGCACAGCCCTGACCCCGCTCCAGACCTGTTCCAAGGTGTGTTACCTGCTGCATGGATTCCTTCAGTCCTCCCAACAACCCCGTGAGGTAGATGGCAACTGTGAACACAGGCTCTGGAGCCAAGGACACTACCTGTGTGACCATCAGCAAGTTGCTTAAACCTCTCCAGTTCTGTTTTCCTCATCTTTACAATAGGGATGTAACAGTATGCCTGCTTCACAGGTTAGTGTGAGAACAAATGAGTCACATATTTCAAGCCCTTTGGACAAGGCCTAACCTCGAGATACTGCTCCATGCCAGTTAGCCAGTACTGTTCTAAAGTTAAATAATGTAGATGAAAGCACTTGTGAAGCTGTTGGGCATGATCCCAATGTAGGGGATCTTTAGACAAGGGATGGAGTGCTGCAGGTTAGAATAGCTGTGGGAGGCTTCCTGGAGAGGGTGGGACCTGGGATGGGCAGGGCTTGGAGAGATGGAGGAGGAAGATACAGGTATTGCAGGCGGAGGGCAGAGGCAGGACTCCCAGAGTGGCCTGGGAAGGGCAGAGAGACTGGCATAAACAGCAGGCAGTGGCAGCAGGTAAGATACAGGAAAGTTATAAATAACCAGCCCAAAGCTCTAAGGAGGAGTGAGACCAAGAGGCCTGCTCCAGGCAGATGAGCTGGGGTGGTTCTGGTAAGCACTGCCCAGATGCAGGGACAGAAGCAGAGGGCCTCCGGTGTATGAGATGCTTTCTCCCTGGACAAGGCCTTCCATCTGCTCCCACTGCCTGGCAACATCCAGCACATGCAGCACTCCCAGCCTGCCAGGCAGAAAGGTCTCCTCTCCTTGCAGGCAGGGGTGTTAGAGACCCTAGTGTTACATGCAAGTGTGCGCAGCGGGAGGGGGTTACATTCAGGAACGCTGCCTGAGAGACCGCACTCAGCTGTTCTCAGGTGTTATGAAAGGTCCAGGGCCGCTGCCTGAGAAACAGCAAGAGACAGAGTGGCTGAAGCACGATTCGGCTTCCATGTGTCACGTGCAGGCATGGAGCAGATGATGGTTCCTGGGTATGTCCGAGCTGCGCACGGCTGACTTTCTGACCATGGGGACGGTGGCCCAGCACAAGCTTCCTCCCAGCATGGCTCGCCCGTCACAGCACAGGCCACCTCCTCAGACAGGCCTTTCTTGACCACCCATCTAGGACCGTGCCCTCCTGACCGCACTTAGCCCCTGAGCCTATTTTCTTTGTAGCGACATATACGTAAGTGGCTATTTATGTGTTGTGTGTTCCTTCATTTTTGTTTTAATGTTTTTTTATTTGACTGCATCAGGTCTTGTGGCACGCGGGATCTTCATTGCACCATGTGGGATCTTTTGTCGTGCATGCATTCTCTAGTTGTGTGCTGGCTCAGTCATTGCAATGCACGGGCTCTCTTGTTGAGGCACATATGTTCTTGGAGCATGCGGGCTTACTTGCCCTGCAGTATGTGGGATCTTACTTCCCTGACCAGGAAGCAAACCGGCGTCCCCTGCATTGCACTGGGAAATCCCAAGTCTTCCTTCAGAAAGAGAAGCTCCCAGCTGACAAGGACCTGTGTCTCCTCCTCATGGCTGGGTCCCCCAGTGTGGGCTCAGAGTGACCCTCAGTAAATATTTGTTAAAGGAAGAATGAAAGAATGAATCCGGCTGCAGCTTGATCCTAGGCCCACTCCCACATCCGGTGTCTCCTGGCCTCTTTCCTTCTTCTTAAATGCCCTCCTCGCCTTTACAGCCCAAGCTTGCCTCTCTGTGAATCCCTCCTGGACCACCCCGCACTCCTGCCCTGTCTCCATCCCTCCCCTGGCACCAGCGGGTTCTGCCTTACACATGACTGATCTTTCTGTCTGCTCAGGAGCTCCAGCCTCAGGTCAGGGACCCCTTTCCCACCCAGGAAGGTGCAGCACAGAGCCTTTTAGAGGCAGACAGGAGAGCAGGATGAGGTGGTAGTTGAGGGCAAAGAGCACACTGCCGGGCTTGGACGGCTGCAACCACAACTCGGGCAAGTTACTTCTCTGTGCCTCAGCTTACCTTGTCTGTAAAATGGGGACAACAATAGTCCATCCCTGCAGGGCTGAGAATTGTCAACACACGTAAAGTGCTAAGAAAATATCTGGCATAAATTATGCACAGTAGAAATGCTAGCTATTGTATTGGTTTCCTGTTATGGCCATAACAAAGCACTGCAAAGTGGGAGGCTTAAAACAATAGAGATGTATTCCTTTTCAGTTCTGGAGGCTGGACATTCAAAAAACCCAAGTGTAAGTAGGGTTGGCTCCTTCCAGAAGCTCAGAAGGAGAATCTGTGCCAGGCCTGTCTCCTAATGTTGGGTGGTGGTCCACAATCCTTGGTGTGCCTTGGCTTGTGGACACATCACTCCAATCTCTGCCTCCATCATCACATGACATTCTCCTTATGTGTCCGTTTTCTCTTATGAAGACAGCAGTCATATTGGATTAGGACCCACCCTAATGACTTCATGTTTACCTTGATTATATCTGTAAAGACCCTATTTCTATATAGGTCACATTTCTAGGTACTGGGATCAGGACGTCAGCATATCTCTTGGGGGACATAGTTCAACCCACAATAGCTGTTTCTTGACTGTCTGGTTACCGGGCCTGTTCCGCCTGGGACCAGCCGCATGTGGTAACCCCTGGAGCACTGACGCAGCTCTGCCCCCTGCAGGTGCTGGAGCGCTGGTGCACGTCCCCGCGGACCATTGAGGTCCTGATGAACACCTACAGTGTTGTGAAGCTTCCTGAGGACGCCATGGGCCTGGTGCCTCCTGAAATTCTGCAGGTCAGATTCTCGGACCCTGAACACACAGTCACCCAGCCTGCCCCAAGAGACTTCCAGCTCCTAAAGGGAAGCCCTGTGGGTCCCCCCATTCTACCCCCACAGAAGTTACTAAGAAAAAGAAAACTCAGAGTGAATACCTGAAATGCTCCTGACTTCTAAGAGGCTCCTGGAGACTCCCACCATCCCCCCCCTCCACTTTAGAAGCAGGTGCCCCCTGCCCAGGGCTCCCCCTGAGCCCCTCGTTCTGCCCCCAGAAGCACCGTCGTTTCTACTCCTCCCTCTTCGCCCTGGTGAGGCAGCCCAGATCACTGCAGCATCTCAGCCGCTGTGCGCTCCGTGCCCACCTGGCGGCCTGCCTGCCCCACGCCCTGCCCCGCCTGCCCCTGCCGCCCCGCCTGCTCCGCTATTTGCAGCTGGATTTCGAGGATGTGCTCTACTAGGTGAGCCCGAGGCTCTGTGGACCGCCCCAGTTGCTGGGGGGCCAGGGGGGGTGGAAATGGGTCGGAGGCAAGATAAATGTGGGGGCAGGGCCCTAGACAGAACTCCCCAGACCACCGGACCTCTCTGAATCCACCCCTCTCCTTCCAGATGTCCACTGCATGTTGAGAGAGTCTGAAAGCAGATTCTCCAGACCCTAGGGGACACCAGCCCACTGCTCACAGCGCCTGGGACTCGGGAATGAGTTGAATGGATTCAGGCCGAGGTGGTCCCCTCAGCAGGAGGCCCAACTCCACAGGGAGGAGTGCTGTCATTCCCCCAGGAGGGGCAGATGGACCAGGTGGCCAAGTGACATCTGATAGAGAGAGAGCTAGGACTCATGGCAAATGATATATACTCCTCTGGGGAAGGAGGGTCTCCTGAGGCCCCCTCCAGACTGTCCAAACCCTGTGCTCACATTAAAAATATGCAGCCTGTGTTATTGGATGCTGTCTGCAATAGCCCCTCCTCTGAGCTGGCTGGCTCACGGGGACTCGAGAAGGGCAGATTTATGGGGTCCCCCTGGATCGGCCCCATGGTGCCTGCTGTATCACCTGCCTCCTTTGGCCTCCACCAGCTACTGAGGGATCCCAGGCAGACTTGCCTCTCTGGCCACGACGTGGGGGAATAGCCATCAGATGAGATAATGTCAGAACAGGCCTGAAAGAGAGCCAGCAGGAGGACGGAGGAGCAACGAGGCTTGGGTAAGGAGAATGAGGCTGTGTAATAAGGCCGGGCAGACAGTGGGGCAGGGCGGTACAGGCAACCCCAGGCTTGGGCAGCGAAGTGAGGGCAGGAAGACAACCGGAGGTGGGTGCACAGGGCAGCCAGCATGGCGTAACCCTGGCCCAGGTGAGAGTGAAAGACGCAGGTTTAGAAAAGCCAAAGCAACTCTACTGGCTGCCTGTCCTGTAAGTCGGATGTACACCTGGGTCCGGCCTCTCTTATAAATGCTCCTTCAATCAGGGCTGAGCTGAGACGTAACACCCCTGGGTTCTAGTCCCAGCTTTGCCATTAACTTAAGGAACAGACGTCTCTTCTCTGCTCTGGACACAAGCTTCTGCATCTGTCAAACAAGAGAGAAGGAGCGCGTCCCTGAGGGTCTTTGCAATCCCGGGATTTAAAGAATTTACAGGCAGCCCCAACAGCCAGGAGCCCGCCTGCGACCACAGGAGGGAGGTGGCGTTGCTCGGAGCCACGGGGCAGCCAATCCAGTGTACAGTGACCCGTGACGTCAAGGGTCGCCGGACAGATTTCCTAGCGGCCCGGAGTGCGCATGCGCCGGAGTTAGCAACTTTTCCCACCAGTTGCTGGGAGCCAAGCTGCAAGGGGAGGGGCCAAGAGGGTGCGAGGTAGAGGGGCGTGGCCTGAGGGGCGTTGCCTGAGGGGGACAGACGGCTTGAAGGCGACCTGGAGATCGCGGAGGTGAGCGGGCCCTGATTCCCACCTGGCCTCACGGACCTTGGGCTGACCGGCCCGCGTGGGCTTCCAGCTGTAGGGCGCGGACACAGCAGGACGGGAGGGACCGCGCCTGGGGCCCAGGCCCACAAGCGGTAGGGGCGGGGACTGACTGAGGCCTGGCCCCTCGTCTGTACACGGTCCAGACCTGGCCAGACCCCGCAGGGCACCCTCCCAGGGGAAGTGGGCACAGGCAAAGAAACAGGTCAGGAAGCGGTTTGGGGCAGGCTCGGGTTCCACTCACGGCTTGGGGCCTCCCCCTGCCCCCGCGCCGGGACCTGGACAGAATGCCCCCTATTCCATTCATTGGTTCAGCAGCGGTTTGAGGGCCTCCCGGGGGCAGGTCACCAGCCACATAAAGGCCTGGCTCTCCCGTCCCCACTAGAAAGTTCGCTACAATGGTGACAGAGACACTGAGCAAACAGACCGGAAAGTTTCAGAGCGATAAAACCTCCGCAGAGGGATTCATTGGTGATTGTCCAAGAGCGGTCAGCCGCTGAGCGCAGGTGACATGGGCACCCCCTCTTTGAGCAGGTGACATTTAACCTGAGGCCTGAGTGACACGGAGGAGCCAGCCACGCGAGTGGAGTGGGGGGAGAGGGAAGTGACATGAAGTGACGTGTATTTTGAAAGATGGCTCTGGCTGCTGAGTGGCTTGGGGGAGGGGAGAGGTAGGGAGGAAAGGTGAGAGAGCAGTTCAGAGGCTATTTCGGGAGTCCTGGCAGAGATGGAAAAGCAGTAGGTGAGACTTGGAACCCTTTCTGGAGACTCCATGGAACTTGATGGACTAGACATGGAAGGCTGAAGGAAAGCATAGTCCAGGATGACTCCGTCGCCCTTTTTTTGGCAGAGCAAAACTGTATGGATGGTGAGACTGATTTGCTAAGGTGGGGAAGATAAGAAAGGGGCAAATGGTGGGGGAGTTAGAAGGTCTAACTGGGAGATGTTAAGTTTGGGCTGCCTATTAGACATATCAAAGAAGCTGTGTGACATGGTCATTTAAATCTATGAATTTGGAGTCCAAGGATGAGGACAGGCCTAGGGATATAAATGGGGGGAATGCATGTGTTTGCATGTGAAAAATATTTAAAGCTCTGTCCCAAGAGAATCTTGACTCTCAAGGGACTTTTCTGAGAAAGTCCTGTTTATGCATTTTGATGGCAATTCTAGTTCACTTGCATCCACGTCATTCATTTTGTGCTTCCTGAGTCCCAGGTTTTAGGCACTAGATACAGAGTTGTGAATGAGACCTGCTCCCACCCTAGTCTGAGAATTTTCCATCTAGTCTGAGAAACAAGTGTGTGAATACTGAGTTCAGATACAAGGGTCATTGTAATGAATGCAGAAGACTTGTGGGAACAGGATTTGAGGGCCTGAGGAGGAAGGAGAGCAGGAGCGGCAGGGGGTTCTGGGAAGGCTTCACAGAAATGGGAGTGCCTCCCCCAAAGTGGTAAGAAGGGGGGAGGATTTCTGGCCATATCTGGAGAGCACCGGTTCATGCAGGAGGCCTTTTAAGAATGCAGGGCATAAGGGAAGAAAGGAGATGTGGAGTGGTCAATACGAGAGGCTGCTGGCCAGCTTCGCGCATTCTCCCCTTAGCAGGGCAGTGTTAGGAAGGTCCTTTCTGGGGTTAGACATCCAGACACTTCTTGCAAGCCAGGGAGCTTCCTCCTCAGCCTCCTGGCTGCGGGTCCCGCGGGCCCAGAACCTCTCCCCGGTAATTGCTTTCCGTAATGTGTTTGCTCCAAACCAATTTCACGCCTCCGTGAGGACTCCGCCCTGCACTGGAGCGCGGACCTCCCCACCACCAACCTACCCGCGTGTATCACGTGCGCGGCACACAATGGGCACACATTTAACCCAACGATATGCAGCGTTCAAGTACCTGGATACAGCCAACATACATGAAACTACACGTGTGTATGCTAGGCTTTAAGACCCTAGTGTACAACCGTCCCCCACCCCTCCCGCCCCAACCAGTGCACTCACCGTGAAGGCCCCTGTAGCGCCCAGCGCGCTGGCCCCTGGACGGCTCACCTGGTGCTGTTCCCTTGCCCTCCGCGCGTCTCCCGGACTAACGCCAGGGGGCGCTGCAGGACTCCGCGCCTCTTTCGCGGTGACGCAGTTGCGCGCTGCTGCCACCAGAGGGTACCCGCGGACAGAGCCCGAAGCTCCCCACAGTCAGCGGACACTCGCCCGCCAATGAGGGCGGCGAAGGTGTATTTGGATTTGACTTTAAAGAGTACTTCGTTTTTGGGGTTTTTTTTTTCGGGTGCTGGTTTCCACTCCGTGAACGGATGGCCAGAGGAGGAGGTCGACACAGGCACACGCAGAGAGGGTAGATTCAAAATAAAATTCTTCCGTAGAGAATGTCCCCAATTGGTGAGTAGTTAGGACAAGTCAGCACGTGGGCAGCCAAAGAAGCACTTTTAGCATTCCATTTTAGACGCTGAGGGGAGGTGCCTACCTATACCGGCCTGTCCAGGGATTCAGTAGGAGAACCAGAGAGTTTTCTTCTCAGTGAAGAGAGGAGGCGGCTCCCTTCAGATTTGAGAGTGACAGGTTCTGTCCTTGGTACTGATGGGAGAGTTAGAAGCTGTGTTTGGAGAGCCACCGATAGGGAGAACGTCCATAATCCATCACTCTGTTTTTGTCCAGTTAGTGGAGGAAGAACTCATTTTGAAGGGTATTTCCCTATATTCACGTGATTGTTGCAGGAGCTTTCTGACTAGACAGGGTGCATGCTCAGTCGCACAGTCGTGTCTGACTCTTGTCGACCCTTTGGACTGCAGCTCACCAGTCTCCTCTGTCCATGGGATTCTCCTGGCAACAATGCTGGGGTGGGTTGCCATTTCCGCCTCTAGGGGATCTTCCCCACCCAGGAATCGAACATGCCTCTCCTGCATTGCAGGCTGGTTCTTTACCACTGTGCCACCTGGGAAGCTCAGAGTAGATATTAATTGCTCTCGCTCATGGATGGAGAAGTTAAGTCAAAAGGGGGCCAAGATCACATGGCCCAGAGAGGAGTCAGAACAGAAACTTAACTTCAGGGTTTTTCTTTTTCTTTTTTTTATCCAGCCAGTGCTCTTTTCCATTTACCATGCAGCCTCAGTTCCACGGTCCATGAAAGGACAGGGAAAGGAAATGGGCTGCTTCAGTTGCCACTGTGTATGTGAGGGTTTTATTCTAATTCAGCTACTGGATGTCAAGGACTGTGCAGAAGTCACACTCCATGACCCCAGCATGGCAAGGGAGCAGACTGAGGACAAATGGATTACCAAATACAGTATCTCACAAACACACCACAGCAGAGCCACACAAAGCCCTGGCGGTCTCACGTGCCTTCTTGCAGAGTTGGTGGCCCACTGGGACTTGTTGGCAACAAGCTTCAAGCCTGTGCACTCTGTGACAGGTTGAACAGAGAATTCCACTTCACAGAGTGCAGTTCTGGGCAGTGCATTCTTGGCTTGAACTAGATGACCCACCTCTTCAAGATCAGAGGGTCTTTAACCTTGAATCCTTGACAACACATGATCCATTTCATCCCATCAAAAAGTGACAGACTTATTAAAGTGGCCCTTTACTGGGAGGACTAGAGCGGGGGTGGCTAGTCAGGGAGGAGATTTCAATGTATATACTTTTGAACTTTTGGAATTTGGGGTTTGGTGGTTTTCTTACATATACAAAAGGTAAATGTAGTTACTTTTAAAAAAAGGCTCTTCCTTCATGCTCTATTTGTTTGGTGGTATTAACACTCATACAGCTTCAATTTCAGTGGTTGTAGCCCAAAAGTTGCCTTGGTAATTTTCAAGTCAATAAGCCTCTATTATCTACCCAACACTGTAAAGTCATCACCCCAAGTACTGACCTCTCACTTTTTTATACACTTTTGAAGTCTCACATGGGTACCATGCAGTACTCGGTTAATTTTACAAAGGGTTCTGAATACTTTTAGGAGGATGGGAAAGGATTATCGTTGTACTTTAGTAGTGATTGGTGTTCGCAGACTTGAGCTAAGGCACTTCTTTCTCCATGGCGACATCGTCCCTCCAGACTTGATCTTTGAGACGTTTCAAGACAGAGCCGAGACAGATCAGGACTGTGTGGAAACCACACCCTTCTCCCTTCTCCTCTCTGATGCACTGCCAGTCAAGCATAACAAAAGAAAGTCCCACCCTCTTCTGTCCCTCTTTGGTGACTGTGTCTTTGAGGGTACGGACTTGAATACATCAGTCTGACATGAGCCAACACAACACTGCCAATGTGAATAAAGTTTCCTGAGATCCAGAGTTCCCACCTGCCTTGCCTTCTCTCGGAAGGCTGTGACTCCGGTGTGGGTTTTCCTCCTCACCGGAACCAGATAACTTTATTTAGACTGCATCTTCCTGAACTCGCTTGCTTCTGCTACTGTGAATTTCAGCTTGCTTGGCTCTCCCTGGCCCCACCTGAATAACAGTGAGCAGATGACCTTCATTTAGTTAGCCAGGCTTGCTCTCCGTCCTGAGGCTCGGGTCACCTTTCTTCTGGTGACTTTCCTGACTTAAGTCTTTCTTGCCCACTGACCCGAGGCTGCGATAGCAGCAGAGCCCGGTGACTTTTGCCTCTAGACTGACGGCTCCACTTCTGGAAATCAGGATGAAGCGGGGGAGGGTAAAAGGCGCGCCTTTCCCGCGTCTGAGAAAGGGGGAGGTGAGCAGAGTCATCTGCAATTAGCGGGTAATTAGCGCCGCTGACCCTTGGGGCTCATCAGCGCTCCCGGGGCCAGCCCCCAGCAATCAGCCAGGGCAGGTCGAGAGTGTCAGGCCCGGGAATGAATAGGGCTCATCAGCGGCGCGGGAGTCGGGGAGCCAATCAGGAAAATTAATAGCGGAAGGAGGGAGAACAGGCAAGGGAGGGAAACCCGGACGGACAGACGGACAGACAGACAGACAGACAAGAGAGATCGAAGTAGGCGAGAGATGAGGGGGCAAATAGAACAAGGCGGATAGGATAGGGAGTGAGAAACAGGAGCCATCAAATAGGAATTGGGATAGAAAGGAGGGCGGGAAAGGAGACAGCGGGAGGGAGGGAAAGGACGAAAAGGATGGGAAAGATGGAGGGAGCAGGGCGAGAGGAACGGTGAGTACTTGGTATAGTGTGGGCCCTGGAGGAAATCGCCCACGGAGGCCAGGGTGAGTGACCCGGGGAGTCCGCGACGGAGGGGGAGTGAGGAGAAGCCAGTGACGAGGCGGACCGCCGGGAGCGAGGGTGAACCGGGTCTCCCGAGGACGAAAAGGACCGTCCCCCCCACAACCCCCACAGAGATGAGCGGTCCAGAGCCGCGGGACCGCGGAGGAGCGCGCCCCCTGCCGTCCGCGCCTCTCCGCCCGAGGGGGCTCCCACCGCGTGGTCCGCCCCGGGGGACCCGGGAGGGGGCGTCCGGGGGCGGGTGGCAGGCCACGCTGGGGGACTGGCCCTGAGTCCGACGGAGGCAGGGGCGGGGGGCTCTCCGATCGCGCGCCCGCCCCCACGCCCTCGCCGCGCCCGCCGCCCAGCGCTCGGTCCACGCGGGGGCCCTCCTCCCGGTCCGCGCCGGGAGCCAAGTGGGCAGAGCCGGGGAGGGGGGGGGGGGCGGGCCGGAGGGAGGGGCACAGGTCCCGCCGCTGCCGCTGCCTCCTCGGCGGCCGCAAACTTTCACAAAGCGGCATGTCCGGCCTCATCAATCTCCATTAATAATAGTTGGTTGGGCTGCGGGGGGCGGGCGGGGGTCCCGGGCCGGCCGGCCGGCCGGGCCGCTGGGAACGGGCTCTGCGGAGGGAGCGGGAGCCCGGGCGCGGCGGCTGCGGGCGGAGGGAGGAAGTGAAGCGTAATTTGAGGAAGATGGATGAGTCCGGAGGGCGACACCCCCAGCCCGCCCGCTTGCCCGCCCCCTCCCTCCTTATGAGCGAGAGGAGCGCGGCGCCGGAGCCACACTGCGCCGAGCCCGCGCCCCGCCGCCACCTCGGCCCGGGAGCCAGGCAGCCAGCCCGGCGTGCGCGCGCGGGGCTCCCGAGCCGCGGGGGCGCACGGCGGCGCCGGGAGGGGAGCGCCCCGGGGCGGCCGCGGCTCCGGGCACCATGCAGCGAGCCGGCGGCGGGGGCGCCCCTGGGGGCAGCGGCGGGGGAGGCGGCGGCGGCGGGGGCGGCCCGGGCACCGCCTTCTCCATCGACTCCCTGATCGGGCCGCCGCCTCCGCGCTCCGGCCACTTGCTGTACACGGGCTACCCCATGTTCATGCCCTACCGGCCCCTCGTGCTGCCGCAGGCGTTGGCCCCCGCGCCGCTGCCCGCCGGCCTCCCGCCTCTCGCCCCTCTTGCCTCCTTCGCCGGCCGCCTGACCAACACCTTCTGCGCGGGGCTGGGCCAGGCCGTGCCCTCGATGGTGGCGCTGACCACCGCGCTGCCCAGCTTCGCGGAGCCTCCCGATGCCTTCTACGGGCCCCCGGAGCTCGCCGCCTCTGCCGCCGCCACTGCTGCCCGAAACCACCCCGAGCCGGCCGGCCGACGCCCGGAGGGCGGGCTGGACGCTGAAGAGCCGCTGCCCGCCCGGGAGAAAGTGGCAGAACCCCCAGCGCCCCCGCCTGCGCACTTCTCCGAGACTTTCCCAAGTCTGCCGGGTAAGTGCCCGGGGCCGACTGGGGCGCCGGGCGGGAGGTTGGTCCCCCTGGAAGTCCGAGGCGGCAGCTTGTTCTCGGAGCCCCCGGAGTCCCAGAGCCCCAGATGCGCCGCCGTTGTGCGGAGCCACCTCCAGGTCCCAGATCCGCCGCCCACTTCCAGAGAGCCTGCAGCCTCGGCCCGAGACTCGCCCGTGCTCCCCGCCAGACTAAAGGCTTGCCTCCCGGCGGTCTAGTCCTCCGGCCCCGGCTCCCGCGGCTGCTTGCAGAACCTCTTGCTCCTCTGCTGGAAATAGAGAAGCTGCGAGTGTGGGATTCCTGGGGACACCAGCCAGACCCCCGGGTGAGGGGGCGGTGGGCAGGTGTCAGTTCAGTAAGGGTTTCTGCGGAGACGGTGGTATTGACCCCCAGCGGGCCCTGGGAACGCAGGGGCGAAGGGAGCGTCTTAAAGTGGTGCTGATGGTGGGGGGAACCCGTGTGTCTCTTGGGTGTGGAGGTCGCTTCTGAACTGGCGGATTTACAGCCAAGCCTTGGGGAATCAAGCGAGGGCCTAGCACTGCGGACTGAGGTGGTCTGGGAGGCCGAGAGACATGCTGAAGGCCGGGCTGAGTGGGGTGTGGCCCCAAGGCCTGGGAGTCCAGAATCCAGCTAAGATCCTGGAACCAGTGAGATTCAGCTAAGAGATCGTTCGGGGATCTCCGACCTCCATAGGAGAATCACCTCTCGGGGGAGAGGCGAGGTGTATTCAAACAACCCTGTTTCGAAACAGTCCAAACAGGCTTCCCTGTTGACCTTTAACCCCTAGAAGCTGGAAAAGCTTTCACTCTCCAGAGGCAGATTCAGGTGTGCTGAGACCCACAGCTTATGCAGTTTGGTGGGTGGGCCCTATTTAAGGAAAACAGAGACTGCTTGCAAGTGTGGTGTTCCTGAAGCTTCAAGTTCAACATCAGGATGAACCTGCCTCTGCTTAACCATTCATCACATCCACTTTAGCAGGTGTAAGGGACCCAGGAGGCCTGGGGGAGGACTCTAGTGGAGACAAGGAAAGCCAGGAGCCCCTTTGTCCTTCACCAGGAGAGAGCTGTTCCTGGGGACGGGTTCCTGGGCCCTTTCTCGGAGTTATCCAAAGGGCCAGTACTTCTTCCAGACCCCAAGGGCTGCTCTAGAGTCTGTCTTCCTCTTGTTTCCCCCTTTAGCCCTGGGCGTGTTCTGGCTCTGGGGTCCTCAGCCGCTGGTTTTTTGTACCTGGTTGGACCAGGAGGAACCAGTGACTGAAATCTAGGCAGCATCTCCTGGGAAGGATCCAGAGGAAAGGATAGAGCAGCAGCTGGAACGTGGGAGGAGATGTCCACAAGATTAGGAGGTGGGGGTGGGGAGGAGCCACAGGAGGACAGGAGGAGGAAAGGATCAGTAGGGTGTTGGATAGGGGAGTCCTGAGACAGAAAGGAGAGCCAGGGGGGCATTGGGAGGGGGTGAGAAGCGGTTTGGAGGCAGTAGGAGAAGCACACACCTGAGGAACAGATGAGCAGAGGGGAAGGGGAGAGGAAGACATCCCAGTGGAGGAGAGCAGGGAGGTGGAATATCCCCAGAGCATGGGAGAACAAGCAACTCGTCCTGCTCTTCAGGTTCCCCCCACTTCTTGTTTTGACCCATCTGTGTAGTAGGGCCTCTTTTCTGAAGCAGGTAGAATATTGGCAGTAACACCAGGCATCGAGGTGGGGAAAAGCAGAAGGAAAGAACAGAAGAGAAACACTGAGGAGTAGAATAGAGGACGCACAAATGGACTGTATACCCAGATTATCCAAAGGGATCATGAGCAAGGAGAGAGCTGTCTACTGGGGGAGACACGTGCAAGGGGATTCTAGTGCTGGCTCCATGAAAAGGGGGAGCAGCATTTCTGGACGAGAAGCATGTGTGTATATGCAAGAGTTCTGTCCTGAGAGGACTGGAAAGGAGCTAAATAAATATACTAGTAGGAAAGAGGGGAATGTTTCAATGCTAGGAGTAATTTTTTTTAAAGGTTTGTCAGTATTGAGAGTTATAAAACATGAATTTGTATATAGAATGAGGAAGAAAAGAGCTTCATCACTTGAAGAGACAAGGAATTTCTTTGCTAAGAAGGATGGGAAGGAGACCTCCCAGAGGAAGAATTCTGAGAGGTGCTGGAGCGAAGGTCATCCCCCCATTAGGAAGAGAGGCTCAGAAAGGGTTCTTAGTGGGGCTTCTGGGGCTGAGCAGGAAGGCGAGATTTCGGATGGAAGGATGGAACGTTCACAGTTAATGAGTGGGAGGGCTGCTTCTCCCTCTTGGTGCAAATTCTCAAGACTCGTCTTCACCTCGCTACTCACGTCCACCTTCCCAGTCTTGATTTTTTTTTTCCCCAACAGAGTTGAGAAAAGAAAAAAGCAATTCCAGAAACGTTAGACGTAAAATCAGTTTGAGGAGTGATGACACGTGGCCCATGCTGAAAGTGGTGGGAAAGAGAACACTCCGCTTGGCAAATTGTATTAGAGTATTTAGTACGACGTAAAAGAGTTCTTAGAGCGAATAATCGAGTTGGAACCTCATTACAGAAGATTTTGGAGAAGGATGGCATCTTTAAAATGACGGAGGAGAAATCACTATTCTACTGTGAATGGGTAACGTGGGTCTGAAGTTATTAATTTACATTTGTCTAGTGTCTTACAATTACTATCCATTTTAATGAAATTACAGTGAAGATAGGCCAATTTGGAGGATGATGAGTGAAGTTCTTTTTGTTGGGAATTAGAAGGACTATTTCTAAAAATTTTGCTGAGAGTTGAGACAGCGCCCTACTAGAATTGATGAGGAAGAAAGCAGAACTTTATTATGATTTGATGGCAGGGTAGAAGCTATATTAGCAGGCAAAGAGAAATTCCGTGTACAGAAATAATGGGGGCAGAAAAGATTTGAAAATGGTACCCTGAAAATAAGTCTAAGTTTGGAGCATGGGAGCAGTCGGTGTGAATAACAGGAGAGATGTCTTAATAGGAGTGATAACAGAATTTTGAACTAGCAGGGAAGATTTAAAAGTATGAATCAACAGAAGCACCCAGAGCAGTGCCATCTAGCAAGTCATTTATGTAATTAAAATATTTTCTTAGCCATATTCAAATAGTAAAATGAAACAGGCAAAATTAATTTTCATAATTTATTTAACCCAACATGTCCAAAATATTATTTCAGCATTATTCAATGTAAAAAATTTAATGAGATGTTTGATATCCTCTTTTCACGCTGTCTCTGAAATCCAGTGTGTGTTTCACACATTCAGGACACCTCAAGTTCAAACTAGCCACGTTTCACATGGTCTGTAGCCTCATGTGGACCATAGCTGACATATCAAATCTGGAGAATTGTAAGGACGGTCCTGGAAAGGGATTAGGGGAAAGGAGCTTTGAACCAGGTGGGTAGTGAAATTGTTGATGTGTTAGGAATACGGAGGTAAGAGAGCAGTTGGCCCCGAAAGACATGAAGAAAGAGAGTTCTGCCTTGAGTGGGGCAGGCAGAGATGATTTTGCGTGTGAAGGTGTGTGAGCTCTGACCGAGTTATCGAAGGTGACTTGAGAATGTGGAGCTCACACATGTCACAGAGAGGATGGGGGAAGCGGATGCTGTGTGCTAGGGAATGATGAAAAGAGCTGTCCGTTTGGAAAAAATCAGGAGAAAACTTTGATTTGGAGGTGTTTCAGAGCAGCGATTCATTCAGGGGGAAAAGGGCTGAATTGAGTGAAAGCAAGTAGTTAAGGGATGGTGGATACTCTGTATGTGACTGTTGGATCGACGATGCAAATAGAGTGAGAGATTGTTATGAAAGATAATGCCACTGCTGAGCGTGGAGAGGAAAGAACACTTGAAGATGAGATGGTATGGAAAAGAAAGTGTGGTGGGGCTAACCTGGGAGGGAGATGGCAGGGTAGCCAGCATTCTCTTCTAAAACTAAACAGAAAAAAGATTTGCTAATTTCTGAATAGAGACTGGCAATAATAATGGAAACCGTGCAAGGAGTCTAGCGTGATATCTGAGTGCTGACTGAGGTCAGCCACACACCTGGCCGTAGCCAGGGAGCACTAAAGATGACCCATCAGTTAATTTCTGAACAGGTATCCATTATGACTGTCGGAATATATTTACTCACGAGAGGAAAAAACAGGGAAGAATGATGTGACGTGGGATCAGAGACTTCTGTTGGAAACAGGAGGGAGATTTTTCTTGGGAGTGATGGAGATCATGTTTTCCTAGAAATTTTGAGAAAGAGTGTACAGAAAAAGGGACCGCTCCATTGACAGTGCTATAGAAAGACACGTGTTGCATTAACTTCACGTGAGTGACAATGGACATTTATTTAGGAGTGACACAGGGGTTCAGGTCTCAACTTTGTCAGTCATTAGCTCTGCAGCTTCAGCAAGCCGCTGAGTTCAATTCAGGAAACATTTGTTGTGTGACTATTGTGGCCTTAGTTTTAAGACACTCTGCATGTATGCATGCTAAGTCTCTCCAGTCGTGTCTGACTCTTTGCGACCCCATGGGCTGTAGCCCGCCAGGCTTCTCCGTCCGTGGGATTCTCCAGGCAAGAATACTGGAGTGGGTTGCCACTTCCTTCTCCAGTCGAGCCTCCCCACCCAGGGATCGAACCTGGGTCTCCTGCGGCTCCTGCATTGTAGGCGGATTCTTCATTGCTGAGCCTCCAGGGAAGCCCTTAAGACGCTGTGTTTATTTTTATGTCACGCTGGACTCTGCGACCCCATGGATTTAGCCCCAGGCGCCTCTGTCCAAGGAATTTTCCCAGTGAGAATACTGGAGTGAGTTGCTATTTCCTCCTCCAGGGGATCTTCCCAACCCAGGGATGGAACCCGGGTCTCCTGCATTGCAGGCAGATGCTTTACTCTCTGAGCCACCAGGGAAGCCACTTAAGACCCTATAGGAGATTCAAAATCTTATCACTTCTCTAGGCTTCAGTTTCCTCACCTGTGATGTAAAAG